AAGGTCGCGTTACCCACAAAGGGAAGCCCATTAGACTCACAGCAGATCTCTCAGCAGAAACCCTATAAGCCAGAAGAGAGTGGGGGCCAATATTCAACATCCTTAAAGAAAAGAACTTTCAACCCAGAATCTCCTATCCAGCCAAACTAAGCTTCATAAGTGAAGGAAAAGTAAAATCCTTTGCGAACAAGCAAGTACTCAGAGATTTCATCACCATCACACCTGCTCTATAAGAACTCCTGAAAGAGGCTCTACACATATAAAGGAACAAAGAGTACCAGCCACTCCAAAAACATACCAAATGGCAAAAGAGCATTAACACAATCAATAATCTGCATCAACTAACCAACAAAACAGCCAGGTAGCATCAAAATGACAGTATCAAACTCACACATAACAATACTATCCCTAAATGTCAATGGACTAAATGCCCCAATCAAAAGACACAAACTGGCAAACTGGATAAAAAGCCAAAACCCATCAGTGTGCTGTATCCAGGAAACCCATCTTACATGCAAGGATACATAAAGGCTCAAAATAAAGGGATGGAGGAAGATCTACCAAGCAAATGGAGAGCAAAAAAAAAAAAAAAAGCAGGAGTTGCAATTCTCATCTCTGATAAAATAGACTTTAAAGCAACAAAGATCAAAAGAGACAAAGAAGGACATTACATAATGGTAAAAGGATCACTGCAACAAGAAGAGCTAACGATCCTAAATATATACGCACCCAATACAGGAGCACCCAGATACATAAGGCAAGTTCTTAATGACTTACAAAGAGACTTAGACTCCCACACAATAATAGTGGGAGACTTTAACACCCCATTGTCAATATTAGACAGATCAACCAGACAGAAAATCAACAAGGATATCCAGGACCTGAACTCAGACCTGGAACAAGCAAATCTAATAGACATTTACAGAACTCTCCACCCCAAATCCACAGAATATACATTCTTCTCAGCACCACATCACACCTACTCTAAAATTGACCACATAATTGGCAATAAATCACTCCTCAGCAAATGCAAAAGAACAGAAATTATAACAAACAGTCTCTCAGACCACAGTGCAATCGAGTTAGAACTCAGAATGCAGAAACTAACTCAGAACCGCACAGCTTCATGGAAACTGAACAACTTGCTCTTGAATGTTGATTGGATAAACAATGAAATGAAGGCACAAATAAAGATGTTCTTCGAAACCAATGAGAATGAAAACACAACATACCAGAATCTCTGGGACACATTTAAAGCAGTCTCTAGAGGAAAATATATAGCAATGAGTGCCCACATGAGAAGAAAGGAGAGATCTAAAATTGACACCCTATCATCAAAATTGAAAGAGCTAGAGAAGCAAGAACAAAAAACTCAAAACCTAGCAGAAGACAGGAAATAACTAAGATCAGAGCAGAACTGAAGGAAATAGAGACACAAAAACTCTTCAAAAAATCAATAAATCCAGGAGCTGGTTTTTTGAAAAGATCAACAAAATAGACAGACCACTAGCCAGATTAATAAAAAAGAAAAGAGAGAATAACCAAATTGATGCAATAAAAAATGATAAAGGGGATATCACCACATATTCCACAGAAATCCAAACCATCATCAGAGATTATTACAAACAACTCTATGCACATAAACTAGTAAACCTGGAAGAAATGGATAAATTCCTGGACACCTGCATCCTCCCAAGCCTAAACCCGGAAGAAGTCGAAACCCTGAATAGACCAATAACAAGGTCTGAGGTCGAGGCAGCAATTAAGAGCCTACCACCCAAAAAAAGCCCAGGTCCAGATGGGTTCACAGCCGAATTCTACCAGACATACAAAGAGGAGCTGGTACCATTCCTTCTGAAACTGTTCCAGACAATCCAAAAAGAGGGAATCCTTCCTAAATCATTTTATGAGACAAACATCATCCTGATACCAAAACCCGGCAGAGACTCAACAAGAAAAGAAAACTTCAGGCCAATATCCATGATGAACATAGATGCAAAATTCTTCAATAAAATACTGGCAAGCCGATTGCAACAGCATATCAAAAAGCTTATCCACCATGATCAAGTAGGATTCATCCCAGGGATGCAAGGCTGGTTCAACATACGCAAGTCCATAAACGTAATTCACCACATAAACAGAACCAAAGACAAAAACCACATGATTATCCCAATTGATGCAGAGAAGGTCTTTGACAAAATTCAACAGCACTTTATGCTAAAAACCCTCAATAAACTAGGTATTGACGGAACGTATCTCAAAATAATAAAAGCTATTTACGACAAACCAACAGCCAATATCATACTGAATGGGCAAAAACTGGAAGCATTCCCTCTGAAATCTGACACTAGACAAAGATGCCCTCTCTCACCACTCCTATTCAATATAGTACTGGAAGTTCTAGCCAGAGCAATCAGGCAAGAAAAAGAAATAAAGGGTATTCAAATCAGAAAGGAGGAAATCAAATTGTCTCTATTTGCAGATGACATGATTGTATATCTAGAAGACCCCATCGTCTCAGCCCCAAATCTCCTGAAACTGATAAACAACTTCAGCAAAGTCTCAGGATACAAAATCAACGTGCAAAAATCACAAGCATTCCTATACACCAGTAACAGACCTAAAGAGAGCCAAATCAAGAACGAACTGCCATTCACAATTGCTACAAAGACAATAAAATACCTAGTAATACAACTAACAAGGAACGTAAAGGACCTCTTCAAGGAGAACTACAAGCCACTGCTCAACGAAATAAGAGAGGACACAAACAGCTGGAGAAACATTCCATGATCATAGTCAGGAAGAATCAACATCATGAAAATGGCCATACAGCCCAAAGTAATTTACAAATTCAATGCTATTCCCATCAAGCTACCAATGACCTTCTTCACAGAACTGGAAAAAACCACCTTAAACTTCATATGGAACCAAAAGAGAGCCCGCATAGCCAAGTCAATTCTAAGCAAAAAGAACAAAGCAGGAGGCATCACACTACCGGACTTCAAACTATACTACAAGGCTGCAAGTTCTAGGCGACTTGTTAACTCAGTGGTTTATAAAAACACACATGGCAAGAAAATGCTATTAGAAGGATCATCCAAGTCAAACATAAAGGACCCTGCCCCCACTGTCTGTCCAACTCTGTATAGAATTAGAATACTCACCACAGATACTCTCCTGGAACATGCAGCTTCTGGTGGAGCTGACCTCACTCACAGAAACAGACAGTTATTAGCACATTTGCATGACCTAGTTATTTCAATATTTTGGCTTGTTTTTATATTTTTGATTCTAGCTGTTTGATTAAATATTTCATATACAGTCCAAAAAAAAAAAAAAAAAAAAAACAGCATGGTACTGGTACCAAAACAGATATATAGACCAATGGAACAGAACAGAGGCCTCAGAGGAAATACAACATATCTACAACCGTCCGATCTTTGACAAACCTGACAAAAACAAGCAATGGGGAAAGGATTCCCTGTTTAATAAATGGTATTGGGAAAACTGGCTAGCCATGTGCAGAAAGCAGAAACAGGACCCCTTCCTGACACCTTACACCAAAATTAACTCCAGATGGATTAAAGACTTAAACATCAGACCTAACACCATAAAAACCCTAGAAGAAAATCTAGGCAAAACCATTCAGGACATAGGCGTAGACAAGGACTTCATGACCAAAATGCCAAAAGCAATGGCAACAAAAGCCAAAATAGACAAATGGAACTAATCAAACTCCACAGCTTCTGCACGGCAAAAGAAACAGTCAGTAGAGTGAATCGGCAACCAACAGAATGGGAAAAAATTTTTGCAGTCTACCCATCTGACAAGGGGCTGATATCCAGAATTTACAAATAACTAAAACAGATCTACAAGAAAAAAACAAACAAGCCCATTCAAAAATGGGCAAAGGACATGAACAGACACTTCACAAAAGAAGACATACAGGAGGCCAGCAAACATATAAAAAATGCTCATCATCACTGGTCATTAGAGAAATGCAAATCAAAACCACATTGAGATACCATCTCACACCAGTTAGAATGGCGATCATTAAAAAATCTGAAAACAACATGCTGGAGAGGATGTGGAGAAATAGGAACACTTACACTGTTGGTGGGAGTGTAAATTAATTCAACCATTGTGGAAGACAGAATGGCAATTCCTCAATGACCTAAAAATAGAAATCCCATTTGACCCAGCAATCCCATTACTGGGTATATATCCAAAGGATTACAAATCATTCTACTATAAGGACACATGCACACGAATGTTCATTGCAGCACTGTTTACAATAGCAAAGACCTGGAACCAACCCAAATGCCCATCGATGATAGACTGGATAGGGAAAATGTGGTACATATACACCATGGAATATTACGCAGCCATCAAAAACGATGAGTTCATGTCCTTTGTAGGGACATGGATGAACCTGGAAACCATCATTCCCAGCAAACTGACACAAGAGCAGAAAATCAAACACTGCATGTTCTCACTCATAGGCGGGTGTTGAACAATGAGAACACATGGACACAGGGAGGGGAGCACTATACACTGGGGTCCGTTGAGGGAAAATGCGGGAGGGACGGGGGGGGTGGGGAGGTGGGAAGAGATAGCATGGGGAGAAATGACAGATACAGGTGAGAGGAAGGAAGGCAGCAAACCACACTGCCATGTGTGTACCTATGCAACAATCTTGCATGTTCTTCACATGTACCCCAAAACCAAAAATGCAATTTAAAAAAAAAAAAGCTAAGAAAAAAAAAAGTCAGCAAATCGGTAATATACTTAAAAATGTGAACTATTGCTTTAAAAAACTTTCACTAGCATGCTATAATTCTGAAGGCTACAGATGCCACTGGTCAGACTGCTCCCCGTGCCATCAAGTCTTTCCCCTTTGGAAATAAAAACATCCATTGTCTCTGATTCAATTAGGAAGGTAAGGTATCCGGTTCTCTTAACACTGATGGCTGCAATTTTACTCCCGACGCCTTTAACACTCATATGTCTGGGAGATTCTGTAAGATCTGTCTCAAGGAAGCACAGGCTACCACGTGGGCATCTGAAGGAAGATTAGCAAGTGACTGAATCAGCCTCTTGACTATTGTCTTCAAACACTGGTGGGCAGCATTCAAGTCTCTGTCAAACTGTTGTCCTTCAATCTGTAGAGCCAAATGACTGCAGATGTTTCTAAACTCAACACTGTCCTGAAATTAACAACAAACACAAACAAAATTAGATACATTAGGGTGGACGTTTGCTGTGCTTTGCTTACCCAGCTTCCATCCCCTTCTCTTCTGGTGACAGCACTCTGTTTTTTTTCTTGGAAAACTACTCCCCATTCTTAGCCTATGCAGTTGGACCAAGGCTGATCTCAACTCCAGAGACCAGGTCAATCAGAGCATGGGCTGGTCAGGATGGACAGATAATCTAAGCCAAGGCCAGTAAGCCACAGGCCCAGGGTATCTACTAGACAAGACTTAAATCGGATCGGCTATCCTTTTTATCTGAGGCTGTTGGGAAATGTCTTGCCACCGTAAAGACGGCATCCAAATGTGAATGCGACCAACACAGAAGAAAGGAGAACCAGGAGATTAAAAGAGACAGATACACAGAAGAAAGGAGAACCAGGAGATTAAAAGAGACAGATTCTAATTACACTTTCTGAGTAGTGTGCTAGCTATACTCGAACAATAAACTCCAGAATTTTTCTGACCCATAAATGTCACTTTTTTACTTAACCCAGTTAGAATTCAGTTTCCGTTACTTACTGCAAAAAGAACTGTGACAAATACACCATTAGCCTGTGTTTCTATTATCCCATACTCACTGTGTTCAGTATTCCAATATTTAGAATTTTTTATTTAATGGACATAGTGGTCTCAAGAAATCTCCAAATTTAGAAAGAACAGTTCCCAGGTAGTTTAAAAGAAGGAGGTAATCCAATGTTTTTAATCTCCAAATGGTTTATTTTGTAAAATCCATTGCAAATAAATGGTACATTGGAATGATTCCACATAAGAGGGAATGTTGACTCTATGATCTCTTTTGAGTATAGGGAAATGATGTCCCCCGGCCTCCTGGTTCTAGCAATAAAACCAGAACTTAGTTTTTCCAAGGAATTCTCTTCGCTACTGAATTCTAAAATTCTCAATAAAATATAGCAAACACCCTTTCTGAGCTTGCAAGAAAATAAGAGAAATCTTTCAGAAGCCAAAAATTTTAAAAGGATTATTTTAGCTGCCTACAAGTACCATGAAGAAATGAAAGTTAGTCTCTCTTGGGCTGGGTTTGGGATAGAGAGTAAAGTTGTCCCTGAGAATGTGTAATAGAGGGACCTGTATTACACAGTCATTTGACTTTGAAATTGCCCTCTGTACCATATGAACATCCTGGGAACACTCATGCCAAGAAATTCACTTAAAATTTTGAACTGGACTGATATAGCCATGAACACATGGGAAAAACAAGCAAAAACCTATTACAGGGAAACATGTCCGCAACCAATGCCCTACAATAGTATTTGCATAATGCTTATGTTGAAGATGAAGCCAAAATATGAAATTTAAAATACAATCTACCATGATATAGCAGATGCAATATGAGACAGGATTAAACTCCAAGAATTAAAAAAAGGAGACGATAAAATATGTTTTAAATCAGCAGTCTCCAACCTTTTTGGCATCAGGGACCAGTTTTGTGGAAGTTAGTTTTTCCATGGCTCGTGGTGGCAGGGGGGTGGCAGATGGTATCGGGATGAAACTGTTCCACATCTGATCATCAGGCATTGGATTCTCATAAGGAGCACACAATCTAGGTCCTTCACATGCTCAGTTCACAATAGGGTTTGCACTCCCATGGGAATCTAATGCCGCTGCTGACCCAACAGGAAGAAGAGCTCAGGTGGTAATACTCCCTTGCCTACTGCTCACCTCCTACTGTGTGGTGTGGTTCCTCACAGGCCTCTAACCAGCACTTTAGTAGGAATAAAAAAAATTCATGGCCCAGGGTGCTAGGGACCTCTGTCTTAAAAGATTAAAGACATAAAAGAAGAAATCAGAAAAGTGTTTTACAAAAAAAAAAAAAAAAAAAAAAAACAGGCTTGACCAAAAAGCACATCCACTTCTAGAAAAATGACAATTATAGTAGAAACTTTTTAAATTGACAGCTTAAACACTTGATTAAATATATCTAAAGTGAGGATTAGTAAACTAGATGATCAATATGAAAAAATTACCTTAGAATGCAAAATTACAAGTTCAAGACGTGGGAAATATGAATGAGAGGTTGAACAACATGGATGACAGGACGAGAAAGTCCGACAAACACTTCTAGGAGAGGCAAGAGAGACAGTGTGAAAGAGGCAATATTCAAAGAGAACAATGGATTCAAATTATACAGAGTAGATCCAAAACAGAAATCCTTATATTAAAGAAGTAAAATATGCCATAGGGAGAACAAGTTAAGTGAAATCCAAATCTAAACTCATCAAGGCAAAATTACTCTTAAAGGCAATCGGCAAGAAAAATACAGAGGGGCTTCAAGGAATGACAAGACAGCAGCTGATCTCTCTCAACAATAATAGGGAAAACAATGAAATAATAGCCTCCAATAACTGTCAACCTCAAATTTTTTTTATTCCTACTAAACTGTCATTTGAAACTCAGGGAACAATAAATACGCTCTCATTTAAAAGGACAGAATTGCCACTAAGAGATTCTCACAGATATTTCTGAAGACATAATTCTGAAAGGAAATTCAACTGAAAATGGTTGAGATTCAGGATGCAACAGTGAACAAAGAAACTTAAAAGCATGGTATAAGTCTAAAGAATTTATTGTTTAAAACAAAAATTATAACAACGAACAGGGAGTTTAGGACATCTAAATGTGCTAAATGAATGATGGTTCATTTTAGAACCATCTGAGCAAAATGGTTCTCAAATGCTGAACAGCAGTGATATGTCGAATGGAGTGGCACTCTAAGCACTGTATTATTCAAGAGAAAGGTGGCAAACTCATAAATTTCAGACTTGTTAGGTACTTGTGTGAAAATTTTAAGGGTTATTATTAAAAGTAGAGAAATAGTATATAAAACTTCAAAATCGGAAGAGGGAAAAGATGAATTAAAGTTTTATTGGCTGGGCACAGTGGCTCACACCTGTAATCCCAACACTTTGGAAGGCTAAGGCAGGCAGACTGCTTGAGTCCAGGAATTTGAGACCAGCCTGGTATACATGGCAAAACCCTGTCTCTCCAAAAAAAAAAAAAAAAAAAAAAATGCAAAAATTATCTGGGCGAGAGGGCAGCACCTGTGGTCCCAGCTACTCAGGAGGCTGGGGTGGGAGGATCGCATTGAGCCCAGGAGGTCAAGGCTGCAGTGAGCAATGATCATGCCACTGCTCTCCAGCCTGGGCAACAGAGTGATACTCTGTCTCAAAGAAAAAGGAAAAAAAAGATATTGACCCTATCTATACAGAAGGTAAAAATGGAGAAACAAAGATACAAACATAAAGCAGGGTAAACAGAAAGCACTAATTAAGATAGTAGTAGTAAGCCTACACATATCAGAAAGCACAATAAATGCAAAGCAATAAACTCACCTTTTGAAAGATAGTGATTGCTATTTTGGTTTTACATGCTGTTGACAAGAAACACATTTAAAACTAAAAGCATATAAAGATTGAAAGTGAATAGATATTTAAATATATGCCAAGCAAAGAGGAGCCAAAATAAAACCATAAAAAAATCATTATTTGAGATAAAATAAACGACAACTACTAAAATGAATGAGTCCCCAAGATGTCACAATTTTATACTTGAATGTCCCTAATATGATAATCTTAACATGCATTCACTCTATACACATGAAAGCTGGTTTTAACCTAGCTTTCTCTGAAACTAGATAAATCAAACAACAAAACAGAAAAGCATTTAAAAACACTAATCACAAGCTTAATCCAATGGAAATAAAATATACATTATTGTCAAACATACATGGAATATTTATAAAAGTTGACTATATTAAAACGTCACAAAGCAAATCTCAACAAATAAATATCAGAAAGTCTCTATCATGCAAATCATAATGCAAATAAATGAGAAATCAATAACATAGATACCCTTCCCAAAACTTGCATGACTTAGAAAATCCACTTCTAAGTAATTCTTAGACAAGTAAAAAAAAAAAAATTGAAATTTTAAAATACTTTATATTGAACCATATCACAAATTTGTGGAATGTAGCCACAGTGAGAAATGCTTTGACTTAAACAATTGTGTAAATAAAGAATAATCTCTGAAAATCCATGAGCTTAAAATTAAACTCAATAATGCAGGAAAAGAAAAACAGATACTGTCACTCAAAAGCAAATGGAAGGAAAAACTAAAAGTTGAACTAAAGTTTGATGAGGGACTAGAGTTTTTCTTCCTAATCCCATCTAGAGGGAGAAACTATTCTCCCTATGAAAAACTCTGTTTTTGGACTGAGATGGACCTGGATTTCTGACAACGTGCTTATTGGAAAACATCCCCCAGAAACAAAACCAATTTTCATTTCAACTTAGCAAACACTGGCAGCAAGACCACCTGCGAGCTAGGTGCCAGGTCAGAACCATACTGTGCTCAAGGATTCGCAAGCTACCCTACTTCTTGTTCCTTTCTCTTTAAAGCATTCTTGCTTCGCTACCTTTGTGTGTTGCTCATTTCTGCCCAGAAAGTATCAAAGAGCTGTTTAGATCAAGCCTGTCCAACCTGCAGCTCAAGATGGCATTGAATTCAGCCCAAAACAGATTTGTAAGTTTTCTTAAAACACTGGAAGATTTTTGTGATTTTTAAAAAATTTAGTTCATCAGCTATCATTAGTGTTAGTGTATTTTATGTGTAGCCCAAGACAGTTCTTCTAATGTGGCCCGGGGAAGCCAAATAATTGGACATCCCTGCTGTAGATAGCTTATGAACCTTGTGTTCATAAGGTCTGTCTCATAGCTTATGGGCTGGCCTGTATGCTGAAGCCTACTGCTAGGGAATGCGAAAGTAGGAGAGAAAAATCACTCTGGACTATTTTCCCAAGATCCACATCAAGGGAAATTGTCCGATTTCATTATAGAAGTAATCCAACACGAAGTACAAAGAATAACGATCAAAGAAAATATGCAAAGGGAAATTCAAAATAGAAGAAACCACTAAAACTTGTACTGATGTGTGCC